CGTACTTTCTCCTACTTTGCATTTCAGAGCAGCTCAACGTCCTCTCTGGGAAGAACGTAAAGGAACAAATTTTTGGAGAGGCTTTCTTAGACGTTGGCAGCTGCATTTTCCCGTCTCCTTGGAGGGCAAGTAGGTTTCATGGAGGAACTTAATGTATTTTTAGCAAAGGAACTCAAAGGCTTGTTTTTGGGGAAAGTCTTCCTCCCTTTTCAGGCGTCTCCATCCCAAGTCTGACAGGACTTTGCTGGATATTGTAGTCACTAATTAGAGCCGAGGAGCTTCCAGCATAGCTGAACGTATTCGTACATTGGCCCGAGCTAATGAGCCATTATTTTGAGTGAGTAATGCAATTACCGAGTTGGTTTTATGGTTCTCCCAACTTCCTTGGACTACAAACGCCCGATTTTTGGATGCGGTTATGTGCCCAACACACGAGTTTATGGGTTGCTATTTTGTGGGGCTTGTAGGAGATTGCTGGGGGCTTTATTGGCTCAATTTGTTGCAGCTCTATCCAGTTTCAGTCGGAGCCTGCCCACCTGTCCATTGGTTGTCCGTGTGCATTATTTACTGATGGCAGTCTATCACCTGAGGCCACAGACGACCCTATGAATATGGAATTTTTGTAATTGAATTTCGCAGGGATGCCTTCAGGCTCCACCAGGGCACAGTAACACAGAAAAGTTGCAAATGAGAAGGGACCGTGCGGGCCTTGGGGAATACGCCTTTCCCTTCCCCTTTGCCTTGCCTTGGCATCCCTTTTGCAATTACAATTAAAGCTTAATTAACCTGAATTTTCTATTACTGCCACATTATTAATTAACTGCGTGACTGACGTGTGTTGCTCTGCTCCTCCCCCACGCCGGCCGAATCTTATACTAATTGAACCAATGAAAGAAGTGCAATTCATTTATTATCTTCAAGCGAATTTCCATTACCAAAATTGGCTGAATAAACAAACAAAGCCCCGAGCTAAAGTTATGCACACGTATACGTAACATTGCGTATACGCAATTTGAATGAAAATTCCCCAGAAAAGCTAAACAATTCCCATAACATGCATTTAAACCGAACTAAAACGCTTACAAATGGGCTTATAAAACTCCCATCCCACAGTCTCACACACTTTTTGGCCAACTCTTCTGGGAGCGGAGGAGGGAACTTCAGAAATGAAATGACCCAAGACCAGGCCGTGAGTGTTTGGGTAAATAGCCAAACTTTGCTCTCGTCAGCCACATTTCATTATCCGAACTAGCGTCTGGAAAATTTCTACTGACATGTTCGAGTTAGTTAGCCAATATGTCTGCTATGGAGGCCCCCTAGATGGTTGTCTTGGAATTATGACTGTGGCGACAAATTTCTGGCAGCTCTCTTTCCTAGAAGTGAAAAATATCTATTTCCATTTTGTGTTCTCGGTGCGGTGTGTATCTTTTATCTGTGCGAGTATATATCACTATATACGCGAAGCACACACTAATTTTAGTCTGTCTGGCTAGTCTCTTTCAGCTTTTCTCTCTCTGTATCTGCTGATTTCTGATAGTCCCCTGTCTGTGGTGGTGTTCCTCTTGTTTACCAATCTTTTCCTCCTCTCAGCTAAATATTTACTTGCAGAAAACGTTTTCTGGCAAATATATTCTCTGTCTGACAAAGAACGAAAAAACCATGCCCGCTGAGCATGTGTCTAATTTATTAGCTCTCCTTTCCTTTTAATATATTTATAGAAATTTATTGACGTCGGTTCGGATGCCTGTTACCATGTACTGTTCATCTCATCCTGTCGATCCTTGGATGTCGTTCCGCTAATCTCATTTCCTCGGTGCTCACTCGTATTATTTTTATGATACATGGCCGTCGGCCTCGATGGCTAAATAACAAATTGCTTTGCAATTCCAAGCCAGGACTCGGTGTTTTATGACCAGCCCATAAAGTATCAGAGCCCCGCGAACCTTCAATTGCATTCATCCTGAAGACTGACAAATTGCGTTGATGGGATTCATTATTCTATTTGCCCGAGCTTAACGAGCTCATTCAGAGACAATCAAACGCGCCTAAGCACAATATGCTTTGTGCCGGGCTGCGCTTGGCTTTCTGCCCAGGAATGCAACACTTGACACGCCAAGAACAAAGGAGTAAAAGACGAGGACTTCTCAGCCCTTCTCCAGAGGATTCTCCTGTTTCAGAACTTTTCAGCTTGCATGACTTCCGCAAACAGCAACTTTTCATACGGGGTTCTTAAAATTTAATTTCAATCAATTTAGAATTTTACAGCAAAGTTTTCCCCAACTTTTTACACTCTTTAAATGGCCCGACATGGCTTCAGAAATATATGAAAAGTAATTTGAAGCATTCAGAGGGCGTCTTAAAAAGTTGAGAGTAATGAAAATATTATGCAAATTACAAGAAACTGGGTAATTTTATTTTGTATCTTTAATGGAAGGCTGTGCCTTTGCGATTTCCCGACGAATGAGATTTGGGGAACCAAGTAGGATGTCACCCGGCTGGCTTTGTTTATTGTTATGGCCCCTTCCTTGCTCTTCCTCTGAACTATTCCAAGTGGCTGCCTTTGTCATTTCAGCCTTCTTGTCTGAGGGTTTCAATTTCTAAGACACTTGGATAAAAAGTTTCTAAAAATATTATTAAAATGGTATTTGAACAGACAGTCAATAGAATATCTTACAGAAAGTGCACTTCATACCTTTATAATTGAAAGAGGTCTATCCTAGCTTTTCTTATATCTTCTTATATTATTTTTCACAGTGTAATCCTTTGTCCTGTCTGTGTTTTTCTTTAACCTACTCCTATGCTGAGCACGTGGCCACATTGTCGGCCTCATTAAGAGGCAATTGCTGCAACATGTCGCCGCCAAAGTCCAAGGCTGCTGATGTTTGCATGCTCCTGCCTCGCAGCTCCTGGCTTGGAGTGTCTGGCCCTTTCTACTTTAAATTACTGCCCCAGAACACAAGTTAAGTTAAAGTGATTTGACTCAAGTTGCGGCAGTCCCTTGGCCGCAACTTTCGTATTATCTGGCAGCGGAAAACAGCAGGTGTAATTTATGAAATTACATTTTCATTTTCATCTCCGGGAAAAGCTGAGCCAACTTGAGCTAAGCGAAGCTGAGCCGAGCTGTGTTTGGCTGCGATTTCAATTTATTTGGACGATCGTAAAAGTTTTCCCATCGCCGAGCGGGGCAGAGTGTGGCATACTCTTGGGCTAACACGGAGATGTTATGCTTGGCGGGCTTCGGACTGTCGGAGCTTGTTAAATTTATGCTCCGCCTAATGTTTCATTTGGCTCGGTGCAAATGGCTCTGGGGCAACTTTTTAACATTTGATGCTGGCTGACAGCTCGTCGAGGGCCATAACTTTGGCCTGCCCTGCAGAAACTCGATTTGTGCGACGTCTGTGGAATTGCGGCATCGCATTGTGGAACTTCTCGACTGCCTGGCTGACCCGCCAACTGTCCTAGTAGTTGTCAGAAACGTCCTATCGCATTGTCAGGCGTCTAGAGTCCATCAATAATGCGCAGCAACAAATCACGAAAAGTTTCTGCGGCAAAGCCAAAAAACAAAATTTGATATATGGCCCGGTCGGGCAGGACTAGAAAATTTATTTGCCATTTAAATTTCAATTACTCGGGGGCCGCATGCGAGTTTGCTACATTTTTCATTCGGTTTACGGGGCGGACCCGCCTATTGAATTATTGAAGCGCTTGATTGGAGTCGAGCGCGAAATCCAATCAGTAAAAGTTGAAAGCGGCGGCCGGCACATGCATACCACATGAGTTGGACCACAACTCCCACAAAGTCTCAAAACATATGCACCTAAAATCATGCAATGTTGTTTTCGGGCTTAAAGAGCGAGGGTGGTTTAAACATTAAACACACATTGGCATATTAAATTTTCAATCGAAAGTAGGCTACATTTTTTGAAGCTCACAATTGGTTTCGAGCTTCACGCTTTTCAAATATTCATATCAAAATCGTACGGACGCGTTGAATTCTTTCAATTTAAACAAGGGTCTTCTGTTTAAAATTCCTCTCGCATTCTTATCACTTTCAAATATGACACTCTTGACAATTTCGGGACTTTAAATTCCTCCCCAGCCACCTTGTCGGAGCTCTAACAAGGTAAACGGTTACAGTTTCGATTTCCTTGGCCCATTTGTGCCCTCCCCTGAGTGCTTGCGTGTGTGATTACTCATACGCAACGTGGCTGCAAGAGGAGAGTTACCAAAAAACAAGTCGGAAAAAGGTGGAAATCGGAGACCGAATTGTGGGTTAAGTCCTCACATCCACACGTAAACTGTGTGGGTATCCGGGAGGGGGCTTGACAATAACTGTATTTACGCATCCTATTTTCCATTTCCTTTCCGGGTGTTTTTTTGACAGAACTCAGTTCTGACTGCCAGAACATTGTCGTTGTTGGCTGTCTTTATGGGGAGCACGTGATTCCACTGGGGAGCATTTTAACTTAATTAGGTTGGGCTAAAACATGCAAAGAATTCTGGTCTAAAATGTAAAAAAAGGGAGAGTTAGTCAGAGAGAAAAATAAAGTGTACTAGGGTGGAGCTTAAAGTCCTCATACATTTTGCATGAAAGAATTTAACATTTAAATAGTTAAATTCCATCAAGAGTGGCCTTAACGTTGTGATAAGCCAACAGTGCGTATGATTTATGTTCCATATATTTATCAATCATACGCCCAGTTGGCTCTTTTATTCTGCGCATGAAACCATATTTTTTTAAAGCGTATTCGAATTGCTTATTTTTATTCAAAGCTCATTAAATTTTACGCACAGCAGAGGGGCACTCTAAGGAAGGCGCCTTATGATATAATCTTTATACTCTAAGATGGTGTCGGCTTATAATTTCCCTTCATGGGTATTATCTACTGAGGGCTCCTTTTCAGGCACACGACCCTTAGGTAGTTCAAGCCGCAATCAATAATGCCAAATGGAGTCATTAATGTTAATTTGCCAATAATCTCCTACCGTTCTCCTTGCAGCACCTACGACCAGGACACGAGATGCAGCAGCACAGAAGCTACGCGTCCTCAGCGCAGGACGACGAGACGAAAGGCGGCCAAAAGTCGGACAAGCACCAAAAGCAACTGGAGACAGGAGGTGAGTGGGATGCTTGGGACCTGAGGAATATTTACCTTCGAGATATTTTGTAAATATTTTGCTTTAATGCGCAAACTGATTGGAATTTCAACGTGCGGGTGGGGTGGTGTTATCGGAGCACATCAATCATCCCTATCCTACTCGTAGGTAACAAGTCATGCCAGGACGAGGAGGAGACGAAATCCAATAAGTATCACCTTAGCAGTCAGGACGATAAGAATGATAATGAGGGGATTGGTAGCAAGAGGGCTCCCAGTTCTCTAGTTTCGGCCCAGCTCCGAGAGGAAGTGAGGAGCCTGGTTTGCCAACTTTTCGAACGGCTTCGAGCGAAAGAAAGCAGGGTTACTAATTGTGGTCTATGGTCTGAAGGGCCCAAGAACACGGTTCCAAATCAAAATCGGGATGAGTTCAAGTGTCAGAAAGGGTTGAGCGAAGCTATGAACAAAAAGACTGAGGATGATTTGTATCCGGGAAACTTGGCCAATAGGATAGAGAAATTCAAGAAACGCCGAAATCTAAAGCCGTCTGGAGTGAAATTGCTCAATGCTAGGGAGTTGGCCCACATCAAGCGGGAATTATGTGAGTCTTTCGCGTGCCTAGGCGGAGTTTCGATGCTAAATATTTCGCTTTTCTAAGACAAACAGAATCAGTCCATGAAGAAGGTTAAGAGCAGAGAGAGAAAGATGGCAAAAATGAAAACTAATCAAGGTAAGGTTTGAATTAGAATCCAGCTAGCTAGAGTCTAGACCTAATAACACACTCTATTTTTAATTATTTGAAATCAATTAGGCAATGAACACCGCCCCTTTCTAATCACGTAATTACCAACCAATTTCCACTTACTGCCTCCTCTCAATCAATGTTTGGCCATTTTTTATACCCTTGCAGAGGGTATTATAATTTTGTCCAAAAGTGTGCAACGCAGTGAAGGAGACATCTCCGACCCTATAAAGTATATATATTCTTGATCAGGATCACCTCCTGAGTTGATATGAGCATGTCCGTCTGTCCGTCTGTCCGTCTGTCCGTCTGTCTGTCCGTCTGTCTGTCTGTCCGTTTCTACGCGAACTAGTCTCTCAGTTTTGAAGCTATCGTCTTGAAACTTTGCACACACCCTTCTTTCCTTTGCACGCAGTATATAAGTCGGAACGACCGGGATCGGCCGACTATATCCTATAGCTGCCATATAACTGATTGATCGGAAATGGTATAACTTTGGTGTTTTTAGAGTTAGAGAGTTCAAATTTGACACGAGAGCTATTTTTGGCAAACCATTACGACATGCCAAATTTCATAGGGATCGGCCGACTATATCCTATAGCTGCCATATAACTGAACGATCGGAAATCACCCAACTTTCGTGTTTTTGAAGATAGAAAGCTGAAACTTAGTACAGATTCTATTTTTGGTCAGTTGATCCAACCTACCAAATTTCATTAGGATCGGTCGACTATATCCTATAGCTGCCATATATCTGAACGATCGGAAATGGTACTTGGTAGAAATATCAACTTTCGTATATTTGAAGGTAGAAGCTTGGGACTTTCTTTTAGATTTTTTATTGTAATTAATTGGTTTTATTATGACGTAATCATAAGGATCCGCCAACTATATCCGATGTTTGTGATATATATCCGGTTTTAGCTGCAAGGGTATATTAACTTCGGTTCCGCCCGAAGTTAGCTTTCTTTTCTTGTTTTATACTTTGCACCGCAGATGCCTATGAATTATCGATTAATCAAAGATTAGTTTAACCAATTAGCGGCCGCTGTGGTGGCTCATTTCACTGCACTTTGCCATAAACACTGAAGGATAGTCGCTCTAATAAAACAGCGAGGGATGTAATTGGCTTTCGCACATTAAATGCATAATGAATAATCGGACGACAGCTGTCACAGCTCGTTAAATAAATTGCATATTTATTTACCATAAATTTATAATGTACAGCTGGACAAGGCGTGGAGCAATGTATGGTTTCTCGCATTAGGTTTAGATAATAATAATTCATACTTTGGATAGTTTATTGCGTAATCTTTTGGCTTTACCTGTAAAGCTAAACTAGGCTAACGATACGGGTAACAATGGTAACAATGAGTTGATTTCCATTCATGCACTTATGCCTCAACCCACGCCCCACTTGAGCATTGGTTTCGGTTACATCTTGTCGTCCAGGCTGTCGTAAAGCTCGGCATCCGTGGCTGGCTTCTCCGGCTGTCCCTCCTCGGACGGAACCTCTTTGCTTGGGTCGTAAACCTCGAACTCCTCGAACTCTATCTCGTCGTACTTGCGCCGCTCGTAGATGCTTCTGTCGTTCGCCACATAGTGACGGACTACGCTCTTGTCCACCACCGAGTTGCTGCTGCTCGCGTTGCTCAAACGGCGTTCCGGGGCCACTGGAGAAACTGTGGCAACTGGAGTGGGGGCAGCCACCGGGGGCTGACTGTTATTGTTCACCTGCGGGTGTATCTCCACGGGCACTACGATTTGGGGTCTGCTGTGTGTTGAGGATGTGGCTCCCGGCTTGACACTTCTGGGCTCGACGTTCTCCTCCACCTCTCGGTGCTGTTTTCCAATTTTCTGGCTCGGGGCTTCGATGGCCTTGCCCCTGGGAGGATTTGTTTTAACTAGCGTATAGGCCAAGTCCACATTTTTATTGCGGCGAACTTTGTTGGCAGTGGCCTGCTGCAGGTTTTTATTGTCGGCCACGTCGAGGCGTATGTTCATGGCCTGGCTCTCGTATGTGGGCGCTGACAGAGTTTCTTCGTCCACAACATAACCATTATCCTGCCTCTGGCCATCAGAGTTTTCAGCCGTCTCAAGATCGAGGGTCGCGTCCCCGAGCACATTGATGTGATTATTTACTGTCACTTGGCGTCGCGGGACCTCCTCGGGCGCTTTTCCCGACATTATCTGGCTCTGGCTGTTGATGGTTAGCTGGGCATCGCCGGCAGCCGTTTGGCTCGCCTCGAAGTGGTGAACCATTTTGCGCACCACTTCGCAATCGGGTGTGACCTCATCGCCTCCGGTCCCGGCCAACTCGAGACGGCTGCTACAACTGTTGGACTTGACCAGCTTGAACTTGATGCCTGTGCGGAGAATAGAGTAGTATCAGATATAAGTCATGCAGTATAGTATCTTTAAAAAAAGTAAATCTAAGAAATTTATATATTTAGAAGTAATTAATTATGTTCAAAATATAAATTATCTTCTGTGTAAAAGGCAATTAATATCCGTTTTTACTCTCCACATCTCTATGGGCATTCCTACCTTGATAGGAGTCCTGCTGCTGCTCGGCTGTCAACTGCTTGGATTGCAATCGATGCTGGCATCTCTCGCTTGGCAGGCACACATTGCAGGACTCGATTTGACGAATCCGAGAACGGGTTCCGTTGACCGCCTGGGGCTGAGTGGCCTTCGTGGGCGGCGCAGGGTGGGTGGTTGCGGTCTTCTCCAGGACCTGTCCCCCGTAGTAGGTGACAGTTGAGCCGCACTCCCTTATCTTGGCCAGCACGTCCTAAAGGAAGAAGGGAAGAGATTAGCCGACGGACTCACATCAAAAGCTAATGGTCCATAAAGCCACACGCAAAAGGCCGCACCCTAAGGACTACACTGAGTAAAATAGTCTACTGTAAACCAGAGAGTATTCTAATGCTATTATCAAGAAGTATATTAAAAAACATTTATCTATAAACTAAACACTATCAGGTATTATTTCAAGTTTCTCTCTAATCACTTTATCTCAAGTGGCTCGGTATTTTCTAAAGAATTATTTGATAAGATATCCAAATAGAGTTTAGTATTCGGAGGGGTCTACTTCTAGGTCTAAAATGTTCCTTGTGTACTCACATTGCTGATGTAATAGTTGTCGCACATATCCTGCTCCACCTCGTCCTCGTACTGGTCATCCTGCTCGTCGTCCTCCTCCTCCAGAAGCTCTCCGTTCTCCTCCTGCTGCTCGGCTAGGCCCAAATGGTTTTCATAAATCTGCCGATAGAGAGATTCATTTGCACCAGGTCCTCCGGGACCTGCCCAGGTGCGTCGGCTGGCGAACTTGGCTCTCGCCTTGGCATTGGCTGCATTGCTGTTGTGCCTGCGGACCACGTCCTGGACGTGAACATCCTTGCAGGCCATTACCGGAGACTCTTGATGAAGGTACTCGCCACAGGGTGAGCTCAGGTCTCCGCTGGAAATGCCACTGGACAGACTGGCGTTGTCCCAGTGCTTGGCCTTGTGCTCCTCGAGAAGCTCCATGCCCTTGGGTTGCTCCTCGCTGCCGTAGCTGGTGTCTATGGTCAGGTATCGGTAGCCCCTAGCCCTCCGGCTTTTGGGACTCAGTTGGCATGCGGATCCTCCGAACTTTTGCTGTGACTGCACCAGTAGTCCCTGGCCGGGAGTGGGCAGCACGTTCTGCTCGAAGAAACGGCGAACGTTGCGCACGGTATCTGGGTCTGGGAGCTCATCTTCATAGAGTTCGCGGTTAACCCTCACGGGTTGGTAGAAGAAGTGCCTCTTGGCAGCAGCTCCTCCCAGCTGTCTCTGGCGAGTCTTTCGTGGCTGGGAACCAGTGGCATTGACGACTCTCGGTGGCTTTGGCGGAGCAGTGGCTGTTGCCGAGGACCCAGTGCCGATTCCCACCTGCAAGGGTCTCTCGATTTTGGTCCTTACGGGCTCCACGATGACCACATTGTTGTTGCTCAGCAGCTCCTGGAAACTGTACTCCTGCAGGTACTGAATCAAGCCATCGAACTGGGCCTCCTTTTTGTTGCGGGTGGCCAGGATGTTGCTCCTTATCAACTGCTGTGACTTCAGAACTTTGTACCGGATGTGATCGAACTGCCCTGGGTCGTCGTCCTGCTCCTGGTCCTGCTCCGGAGCTGCCTTCACAATAGTGGCCTTTTGCGAGCCATCGCCCAGTTCCACAATCTCTATTGACGGTGGTGGCATCATGCTGCAGAAATCATTGTTTGCTGGCGGGGACTTCTCTGTGCTGTGAATGGTGGTTGTCTCCCCACCCAGCTGGAAATGAATCCCTCCCTGATTTTCCTTGGCAGGGAGCTCGGCTTTCAAAGTTTCCGGTTCATTGCCTGCCAGCTTGTTCCAATAGCATCGGACTGCATCCACTTTCTGCAGATACTCGGTTGCCACTTCCCCGCCATTGGCACTAATTGTGCTCGCTAAGCTCCTGGCACTGCTTCTCCTCCGCAGGGGGCCGCCTGCTCCACCACCATTCGCGCCACTCCCTCGGCCATCCACAACGTGCAGTATCTGAGGACGCGACATCTTCCCGCGCGAGAAGCTCGAGTCTCCGTAGGCGGAGGTTGCCAAAACCTTGACGGGCCGGGCTTTGTAAATTTGTGAACCGGAGCTGAGAATGCGGTGCTCCAGTGGCTTGCCACTCGACGAGCTCACGGAGCGGCGGAGGGACCGCTGAGTCGGGCTAAAAGTTTGGGCGTTTGAGCTGCCTTTCGGGTTGGCCTTGCTGGGGCCCTCCTGGATAGCCTCCTTTTGGATGATATTGTTCTGGGCGTCGGTGACAATAATCTGGAATGACTCTTGTGGCGATTGTTTGTCGGTGTTCTGCTCGTGGCGTTCACGGATTTCCTGGGCACGACGCTCGATTAGCTTGCTGAAATTGGCCACCTCGATGACGGGCGCCTCCTTTGGTTGTTCCGGTTGCGATATTGAAACGGATAGAGTATCCTCTTCTTCCTCTAGCGGCTCAACCTTCTTCAAGGATTCTTGTTGCAAGGATTCTTCTGTCAGAGGTGGCGGAGGTGGTGGTAGCGGTTCGTCTTCCTCTGGCTGGCGCACCTCCTCTTTTTCTTTGATTAAGTCACGAGTCTTTGACGCCTCCTTGACTTCAATTTGTCGCTCCTGCACGGGGAATTCCTTGTTTATCTTTGGCTTTTCTCTCTCCCTTTCCTTATCCTTTTCCTTTTCCTGCTGGGCTTCCCGTTCGCGCTCCCTCTCCCGTTCCTGGTACTCCCGCTGCCTGGCCTTCTGGTGAGCCCTTCCGAAGCGTCTGATGGAATCGTAAGTCTCGGCCCGGGTCACCTGCTGCTGCTCCCTCTTGGCTTCCTTCCGCTGCTGCTGCCTCTGCTGGTTGTACGAGGACCTCAGCTCTTTGTCTATATTCTCGCAGACCTTGAGGCTCACTCCGATATTAACATCTGGCAGGCTGTGAAACTGGTTCTCGGCGAGATTGGATTTGGGGTTGCTAATGACGAACGAGTCGGTGGCCTGGCGCTTCAGCTCCGGAGGCTGCTGCCGTACTTCCTCCTGTTTGAGTTTCCGCTTTTCCACCACCGAAAGGATCTTTGGCTTCGGCGTGTGTTCCACCTTCAGGACCTGTGTGAAGATTTGAGCCTCGACCTTGGCTGTGGCTACTAGGGGAGGAGCCGCCGGTTCCTCCTTGTCGTTGGCCTTCTTGTGCTGCTTAGCCTGCGGCTCATAAACCGTGTCCTCTATGGAGATGTGTAACAAGCTGCGGGTCTCCAACTCCCCGCTCTCACCGCAGCTGGTGAAAGTTCTCTGCTCGAAGGACTCGCAACTTTCGCCAATTAGAGTGCAATCAGAACTGTCCTCGGAGGAGAGGTACACCGAGTCGTAGGCTATTAGCTTGTCCAACTGCTCGTTGTCGGCTTGCCTCAAAGTGCTGTCGCTGTCGCTGGCTGGTGGTTCGGTCGGCGTGGCAACCGCCTCCTCCTCTTCCTCCTGATTTATGTCTTCTTCTTCGCCTTCGCTGCTTTCGAACCGTGTCCTGGCAGTGGTGGTTAGGCTTATCAGTTCGTAGCTTTCCTCCACCTTTGAGCCCTGGTGATAGATCTCTTCTATGTGGGTCAAATCGTATTCCTGTTCCGAGAGCGAGGGACTATCCGTTTGGTCGTCGGAGTTGCTGGTTGTGGTCTCGGGGAATACGCTACTCTGGCTGTGTTCTGGGCAGGACTCACCACCCGTGTCCAGATGCCGTTGCAGGCAGTTGGAGTGGCTATTGTTCCTGCGCTGCTGCTGTCTCCTGGACTGATAGATCCTCGGGCGCTCCTTCAGTAGACTAACTGCCACCTGTTCGAGGGCATCCAGCTCCAGGGAGGACGGCTGCTGCTGGTCCAGGTGGTTTTGGTGCAGGGAGTTCTTGAAGTAGTCCGAGTTCAAGCTCTCCAAATCGCTCTTGTCGTTATGCCAAGGATGCAGTGGCTCGCCCAGTCCCAGAGCCAAGGCGTCCAAGCGTTTCAGATTATCGTAGTAGACATCAAAGTCACGCGATTCGCGGGATTGTCGCTGCTGGCTTTGGGCTGGCTGCGTGCGGTGCTGCAGCTGATGCGAATCGCAAGTGGCTGGGTTGCTACTTCTCTGGCTTTGGACCTCATCCGCCGGCTGCTGATCCGCCGACAACTGCTCACCCACCGAGGAGGTCGTCTGACTCGCCTTGCCGTTCAACCTGTTGATGGGAGGATGGGCTGGTTAATGACGCTATTGTTTCGCATTTGCCTATCAAAATGAAATTACAGCCTCTGATTGCGGCTCTGGGCTGATGACTGCTCATCTCCCACTCAGCCGGCCTTCAGTCATGTGACGACAATGTCTCAATCAATCAATCCACTCCACTCGCACAAATCAAACGAGCAAGCGGAACGCAAACCGAGACGGGAAAGTCGGGTGCTCGACTGCGAATGTTCTTGTTTGTCATTTAACTGCTGAAAAAATGGGAAACCCTAACTGCGACAGGTGATTGATAGAGTTGTGAAAGCAAACATGAATTAAGTAAGTCAACGAGTGACGAGGGTCCAGGTGCAGCAGTCGTCTTGAATGGCCTGTCAAATTACTGGAATTGTTTGGTTTGCAAAAAGGATGCTTCCACACGCAATGTTGCACACGAATGTGAGAAGATAGTTATATTATGGTTTGGATAAATAGGTGTAGTATTCCTTGATTGCTATCAATGGGTTCTTTATCGTTTTGTAATTCCAAACAGCTTATGTTGAGGCCCTAGGGAGAGGGCTTTGAAAGTATTCCCGTTGGCCCGGATCAGTTTCAGTCGCCAGGTGCACCGGAGGTGGGGCTCGGATGGAGAGCTTACCCGGGCACTTGACGCGACGATTTGCGGAAAATTAAATAAAAACCGGGTGGAAGGGAATGCGAGTGGCAGGCACTCGGATATGTGGCCAGGGACTAGCTGCAGAATGGGCAAAGGGGAGGCAATTGCGACGAATGCAGCTGTCATTGTCAGGATGCGCGGGATAACGTGTGTGCTAATGGCTGGATGAGTGGCAGAGGACTAAGAGCTTTTCCAGCTCGCTGTCGCGCACAACTCATATCCAGTTGGCTAACAAAAATAGACAAACAACAAACTTTTGCGATTTTAATTAAACTGTGAGTGAGAAACAAAACCTAAACTCGATTAAATTAAAAAGCTCATCAAGAGTAAGTGCTCTTACGCAACGCGATTAAAAGTTCGATCGCTGTGACTCTGCAGTTGTCACAAATCAGGGCTAGGCTTAATTGGAAAACCGCAGCCACCGGTGCGCGGTATTCGGCTCAGAATAATGCAACAATGACCTCGGATGTTGACCCTGACCAGTCGACAAAGGTAACTCCGCGCAGGCAAAACCGCGAACAGCACAAACGGAAAACAACAAACCGACCGCAACAATTTGGCCGGCGGCTCACGAAACGTTAAGAGCAAAACCTGCGCTGCGAGACCTGTTGAGTTTGTGGCGAGCGTCGCTCAACGACTGAACGACCGAGCAGATCCAGCCCAACACGGCGTATGCGTGATTTTCTGGACTTTAAACACTCGACAGCAAAGCAAAGATTTGCTCGGGCGGAGCTCAAGCCTCTTTTAATTGCCCTTAAAGACATTATTTTGAAGGCTTTAGCATTTATTTTTCCGATATTGATTTTTAAATGTCGCAAAATAATGGCCGAAACTATTCATGCAAGCTCCAAAAGTTTAAGTTATTGATTTATTTAGGACTTTGTTTAAAGTTTAAGCGAACAGGTGTTGCTGGGAATTTTGAAAACAAATACCGAAAGTTGCATATTTGCGAAAGTTAGCTCACAACCATAACACAGAGTTTGCTACTCTTTCCCAAATACAAAATATTTAGTTTTATAGTTCAGTGTTGTGTGACTCACCTGGGCGATTCACGGAAAAAGCCACGGCTTACCAGCCGAGCACGGGGTATTAGCTGCGATCGGCGCCGACTGCTGTTTGCCGATCCGATTTGCAAATCGCTAAACGTCTCCTCACGTATTACGGCCAAGCTGCGGGATCTTCTCAAGCTGCACGACTCGCTGCCCAGAATGTCGAGCAGAGTGGCGGCTGCAGTGGTTGTGTTGGTGGTTGCCTTGGTTGCCGAGACGGTGGTGCTTGGTTCGGGGGCTTCTCCCGCTTCCCTAGCGGCTTCAGCGGACTCGAATTTGTCGTTAATTGAAAGAACTATAAAAAAACAGACACGTAGAAGAATTAAATAGTAATAGAGCTCGCAAGCGGCATCTCTAACAAACTAATTGAGTTGCATGTTTGATATTTAAGAAGGGAACACGGAGCCAATATTCCCAACAAGCTTCCTATGACGGCTCAATCACCCGTTATGGCCCAGTGGTTGCCTGCCACCCGAAGGCCGCCACTCACCCGCGTAGCTGTCGACTTGCTCTAGCGGAGCTTCCGCATCGAAGCGCCAATAGAACTCGGCGATGTCCAAGCCGTTCTCCTCCCGCTCCAGCTGCGTGTAGTCCAGCGAGCGGGCGTTCCTCAGCTGCCCGTTCCCGCTTCCGGTTCCGCCACCGGCCACGCCCACCCGGCACTGGGTCCAGTGGGGCTGGGCGTGTGGATGGTGCGAGTGCGAGTGGGAGTGTGAGTGCTGCAGGTGGTGGTGGCTGTGGCTCTGCTGCGGCAGGTGCTGGTGCGACTGGTGGTGCGGATGGCGACCTAAGCCAGAACTAGCTGCTTCATGGCAGCTGGTGGCCAAGTCGAGATGCGAAACGGATTTGTGGGTATGTCGCCAGCCGGCGGCTCTCAACTGGGGACACCGAGGGTCGTGGTTGGTCTGCTGGTGGTGGTGTCCGCCGGTGGTGTCCTCTAAACGCACCCGGTCCACGTAGTTGTGCTGGTAGCTATAGCCGTCCTTGCTGCTGAAGAAACACATAAAAATTATTAGCACTTTGCCTAATAAAATCTTGATTTTAATAGCTGGAATGGAAATTTCTTAGAGTGTTATGATGAATCCGGTGCCCTAGGGAGATGCATAAGCAATAACTCAATACTATTCGGAATTTCCCAACCCCTCCGAGTACAGCTGCGAATTTGGCAATCCATCTGCCAATCCTCGCCAGACGTTTTCCATTTACAAATGGCAAATGGCTTTTCTGGCTTCTGTGGCATTTCGCCCAGAACTTGAGAGCAGCCGAACACCAAGTCACAGATGCCGCGGATCTCACGCTTCATTTGGCAGCTCAGGTAGAAAAAAAGCTGATGGCTAAGCAATTTTCCCTCAATCAGTCAAAGCTCCTGGAGCCAAGGATGGTGGCGGGTGGCAGGTGGCGAGTGGTGCTGAAAGGTAGTAAGCAAATAGTCCTTTGGCTCAAACGCTTCGCCGAGCAAACTTTCTGTTTCTGCTGGCTCGTAAAATTGTTTGACTTTTATAGAGCGGACGAGGGAGTCTGTAGGTCGTCTACTTTCCAGTTGCGCTCGAATGAATGATTGCAGTGCCAGTTCGCAGAAAGAACTAATGTTTACGTCTCTCGAATTACCCCTGGGGCTTAATTCAACTGCCGGACAGATGCCAATGGCTCATAAAATGGACGCAATTTCCTTGGGCCATACGTCATTGCTTTAACTGGAATTTGTTTTTTATTGTTTTATTTCGGCCATTATATTTGAAGGAATGGTGTCAAAAATGGCTATTTCTAGATAATACAAGCCAAATTCAATAGTTTAAGGAATGTAACATCCATTACAGACTTAGATATAACTTTATATTAAAACTGTCATAGCCTTGACCATCCATATGGTCTATGTAAGCACCCAGACAAGTGACAACTACCTGTGCTTCTCCCAGCCTTGAGAAACTTTTTCTTTAATCTCTGCATAATTTGCACCCAACAAATACTTTCTAGTACCCAAAGTTCGGTGCTTGTGGAGGCCTCTTCCCCGGACTCCTCCCCAGTGCTCCTCTGCGATGTATCTGTGTTAATTGCGATGGCCCCGTCGACTGCTCCTGTCTTTCCAAGGGGAAGGTGGAGCGCCACCTCAGCACATTTTACCGGATGGTTGCATTTTAGATGCCAGCCATTACAATTGCAAATGTTGCCAACTAATGTTTAACTGAGCGGCGGGGATTGAGCCGAGGCCGGAGGATCCGGCGCGCCTTCCTGGCGTCGGCATTCTAGCCAGCCTACAGGCTCCCGGCTCCCGTCTACAGGCTCTCCTGCTGCCATTCGTCCTTGTTTCAACATCGGTTCACAGCGGCGCCTGGTCGAGGCCTCAGTTTATGGTGCGGAGAGCTCACATAAAAATAAAAAATAAAGAGCCAGAAAGTGCTGAGCTCTCCTCCTGCCAACTGCTAAGCACTGGCCTGGCCTTATTCGCTTTTCCATGCACTCAAAATAAAGGTTAAAATGTGGGTTTTATGGTTGAAATACCTACATTAGACTGGGGAAAAGTTTTGAGAATCACATGGGTATATTCTTTTAAAATTTTCATAAACAAAAGATAGAAACAAATATTTATTGAATCAATTATCAAAATAGGTCAGATGTGGCAAGGTATAAGAATACTATTATTTTTCAAATGTTCATATGTATGCCATTTTCAAATAGTTTTTCTTTTTCATAGCCTTTTTGGCTTTAGCCATACATATGGGGTAGAAAGAACACAAACAGGCATTTTTGAAGCCCCACTAAGGTTAATGTAAGTGCCATTTCTCCTTTGTTTTGTAGGAGACTGCCTTCTATTTCACTTAAAAGTTAATTAGGCAAATGTCAACACTGTGTACCAGGATAAAAACTCACTTTGTTTTCTCGTATTATTTTACAACAAAACGGAATCACTTTTCCGCTCTTATTTCCCTTAAATTAATTTGTCTTGAGGACTTGGCTTTTAATGGCTCCCCGCAGTACAGAACAATGTGTTCTTAATACGAGTTATAAAGACTCTTGTTAATTGCTTTTAATGCCACTTTATGACTGACGACGAGTTATAAACATTCTCGAGCTCCTTAACGCATAAAAAATTACAATTTCAGTTTGCTTTTCCAGTCACGTGTGTGTTTTTTGTTTTGTTTAAACTTAAAGCTTTGTTTTAAATAGGACACGCGCTGCGTTTAATTTCTCACTTTTGTGAAACATCTGCCAAGGGCGAACGCGGCAGAAAAAAGTCAAATGCGATTTTCGTGCGATTAGCGAGCGATTTTCAACGCGCTATTCCATTAAAATAAACACAAGCACAAAAAACCACTGCAATGACCATAAAAGCTTTGAATAAACAATGGAAAAAAGGTTGATTAAAATTCAGAAAATTATTTAGCATGCCTTACAAAAAAACACACGCAAATAAGCCCAAAGTTAATGGGTAAACATCGACACAAAGAAGTTCGCTCTCTGAAATTTATTGAAGATCAGCTAATTAAATTATGGCTGAAAAAATAGAAACTGCAATGAAATGAACACGTTCGTGCCAAAATGGAAATGGCAAAACTCGCATGACAGCACCAAATTAATTAACACAGATATCTATTGGGTGAAAAAACAAGCAAACTGGCAAGCCAGCGAGCAGCAAACCTACAAACCACCAAACGCCGATTTACATGAAAAGCAGATGCAGACCCGGCCAGCACCGGAGCACCGGAGCATAAACTGAAAATGGCAATAAAACAATATAAGCACATAAAATCATTTGCAATCGGCATTTTCACACAGGCCGGCTCACAATGGGCTTCCAATTGTGAAAATAGAATTAATATTAAATAGAAGAACAAATTCGGCACGGCTGGAATAATCAGAGCGTATTGTTATACAGGGGCGACCCCTTCCAGCTGCCGGCCAACTAGTATTGCCGAACTGCGAATGGGCCGAGAGAAACCTGTCGAAATAATTTGGCATAGGAAGATGACGGCGGGTCGGGATGGCAGGGAGGGCTTGCGACATTTGGAATGACATTTTCGGAAACTTTTTGCTGCCGCAGTGCTGCTGGTAGGTCAACGGAGGTACTGTGCCACGGAGATGGAAATAAATGCTAAATCAATTTCTGCTTCTGCCCCTGCGGTTGCCCGCAAATTGCATTTCTGGCTTATGCACGCAAACCCCTCCTCCTATGCGGCTGGGGACATAAATTAAGCGGCGACTTGGCTCCGGGCAATGTCAATGAGTGGACAAATAAGTTTGCCATTTTCCGCAGTCCTCTCCATCATCGGGAGTGGAAATGGGAAGCCGCACTGCACACTATTTTCGGTCATAAACAGAGTTTGCACAGAGTTATTTTTCCCAGAGGTCATAAATCACGAATATTTCTGTAATGAATGATTTGCAAGCCACTCGACAGACTCTGATTATTTAATATTTCAAATATTATTTATTCAGTTTTGTGGGCCTTTAGTTTTGCTATTTAAAGGAATAAATCGTTCTCCTATCACAGACTTGGCCTAATTAATGCTTAATTTTATTGGCATGGCCAGCAGTCTGAAGAATGTCAACTCAAATGACAAATGAATTCCTTAAATCATTAATGCCATTTAGATAAATGGTCCACGCACTGATTCCTCCAGGCTGCTGCTAATGGGAAGGTTGTCGTCCGTTTATCGAAAATATTGACTCAGGGTGGTACCCCGACCACCTCAAGAACACGCGTTAGCCATTGTTGCTTGGCTTGGGTTAGTGGGCCACATCTTCACTGCGTAAATAACAACATCCATTCGTCTTCTGAGCCATTTGCCACACTCCCCCGCCCCATCGACCACCGCCCGTTTTAGCCCACTTGAATGCTTTCTATTGACGGCGCCGCCTCTGCACAGTTTGTTGATTTTTGTGGTTAATGCAAAATGGGTTTATTGTCCATGAAATGGCCAAAAAAAAGGGGCGGCCTGTGCGCGGTTTTTCTCTCACTTCTTTTCGCCGTTTTAGGCCTTCCACTCGTTCTTGTTTTTCACTCCGCTCTTCGGTTTTCACCTGTTGTTACCGCTTTTACGTCTCGCCGCTGACTGAACATTCCAGCAGCTAAGCGCAGGCGCCGCCGTCGCCGCGACTGCGCAGCTGCTGCTCTGCCGACGCCGACTTCGCTGCCGACGCTGCTCATTTGTTTATTATTTTGTTAACCCTTTTCAGTGGCATGCTGCCCACCCCAGCACCCCTACAGTTGTGGGAGAAATAATAGAGCTGGATCCCCGATTAATATTTTTTAGTTCAAAGCCAGGTACTAGAGCATGTGCCATAATTCCTCCATTAATGTCTCCTTTCAAATTATTGTTATTTCTACCTGTATTACTACTAGTAATTTAATTTCGAGTGGACCTGTAATGGTGTTTACTTTTCTGTCACTGTGCCACTGAAGCAACAATGAAGCAATTTGGAGTCTCAAGTTTCAAACATTTGTGAGCTTACGTTGTTGCCTTTATGGCCACCCTAGCTGGGCCACACAGCCTTAATGAAATTTTCATGTTTAATCGCAATGGCAAAGTGAAAAGTAATTTGGCGCTCAATTAAAGCAGAAACCAGTGGCAAACTGGGCTCATTATCGAGTCGATCCGAAGTTGCGACAACAGCTGGTGAGATGACGATTGCCGCACCATCAAATTCGAATTTGTAATCCCCACCAGGAGTCCTTCTTTTTGTATTTTCGGGTGGAAGGTGAAAGGTTGTGGGACCACTTTCCTTTGTAAAACCCTTTTCCTTCACTCTCCCTGCTGAGTTGGTGCCTTTGAATGACAAATGAGTTGGGATTGTTTAACTCTGTGGAATAAGCTGTTAAAGCCAAGGTACAGTGGGATAATGGCTATTGTTGGTAGATAGCCATCAAATATTAAAAACTAATTTGATTTTAGTTACATTATTGGTCCAGTTATTATGTCAACTTTTAAAGTAATTTAATTATCCACTATCCACTGAAGATTTCCCCTAGTTTTCTCTCCTCACCTCGCAACACACTGTGCCCCGCCATGTGGCAATGCTCGTGAATAATGCAAAACAAAGAGCTACCAATGGCAGGGGTCGTCTGATGGGCTTGGGTCTGGCTTTCGGGCCCCAGCAATGAACTCAAGTGAACTACGGAGCCCCAAGTACTCAGTTTCCCGCCACTCCCCCACTGCTTTGACTCGGTTGAACTTTTAACGTTGCCGCCACTGCCACTGCTGCTGCTGTTGGCAGGTGGAATTTCGTCATCGGGGAGAAGCGTCACCTAGTTTGGATGTTCGGGGACTAGGGAGTGAGGGCTGAGGGCTGGAATCTGCGAGCCGC